GGCTGACCCAACAGGGCTCGAGGGCATGACTGCACACCCAGGGCTGAGAATCTGGGGTTCACTCCAGCCCAGCCGTAACTTTGTGCTGAGATTATGCAACGGCTGTTAAGTTGCCTGGCAATGTAGGAGATTCCATTGGACACACCGGTTTCTTCTGATCGCTCATGTTATTGGGAAGGTAGGATTACAAAAATGGAAGCACCCCAATTCAGGGCACAATCTGAAAGGGCAGGCTGGGCAGGTGCATGCTGGGTAGGGAGGTGGAAGGAAGGCAGAGGGCAGGAGGTGACTGCAGCCGAAGAGTGGGAAGGAGACATGAGACCAGACACAGAAGGCCCCGTGAAGGCCCCGTGTACTGGGAAAGCATCTGGGCTCAGCTGTGGGTACCAAAAGGCATCTGGGGGAGCCTCAACAGGGACAAGATGTAGCCCCAAATGTTTTCTTCAAAGGTGGGGGATGTCTCAGGTCCTTCCAGAGTACCAGTGTACCCCCCTCTTTGGCTCCTGCCTACAGCTTGGCCCTGGCTGGCTTCAAGTTCCAGCCCTGTGACTAACATTTATCATGCAGGCAGGCAGGCAGGCAGCCCAACTTTCTCTGGGCTTCAGTTTTCCCATCTGGAAAAAGGGTGGGAATTTGTTCCTTGCCCAACAACAGTAATACTGAGAGGCAAAGCAGACATGATGATTCCTGATGGGTAGGCATAAGACGGCCATGGAGCCAGAGCCCAGCAAATACTGCCTCTGTTAACCAGCAGAGGTTCCCAAGGGCATTTACAAGGAGGAGGGCTGACCAGTGAGGGCAGGAGAGACGGCAGCAGCCCTGTGACTGACCACACCAACTCAGCCAACTCTGAGGTAAAAGCCCTGTAGCCCATGCCCCCACGGTTCTCTTTCCTCCGAAGAGATTGGTGCGTCCAAATTGGAAAATGCCAGAAGGAGGTCAGCCCAGTGTCTCTCTGGAGAGAATGCGGACCTTGTTAAGGTGCCTCTGGGGTTCACCCATTAGCCTGGCTCATCAGCCACAAGGCCCTATGGGAAATTTCCATGAAGAATCAGGACATCCCAAGCCTGTTATCCTTGTGTTCCGTGACTTTGGGGAAGTCAGTTCACCCACGGGGCCGCCAGTATCTCTATTTGCAAGGTGCAATTAAATTAACAGATCTGAGAGCTTCATGGTCACATGACTGTGGCTGTGGTTTGGGTCCCTAACAATGTGGAAATCCTCTGGAGAACATCAGCTAGCAAGAACAGGGGTGGACTCACCTTCCATGGAAGGCTGCAAGGATCAGTCTCTGAGGCTGACCCTCTCTGCTCTCCGTAAGGTGTATGCAGGTGCTTCACAGTGGTTATAACCCGTCCCATTTACAACAGGCACAAGTGTCTGCTTTCTTCATGGGGAAACCGAGTCCAGAGTGTGAGGCAACTTTCCTAAAACCACGTAGTGAAGTAGACCTGAGTCTAAAACTTGAACCTGGATCTGACATCTGAACCTTCATTTGTAGCATCAATATACACCGCCTAGAAAGGACAGACACCTTCAGGAAAGGTGTGTAGGTGAACAGATGCAGGTTGGTCAGCAGCATCGGCTGTCTGAGCACCTACTTAAGCCAGACTGCTATGGGGACAGGATTCCCCTCCCTGGTGCAGTCTAGAGACCAGCGGAGAAAACAGCCACACAGGATAAGCATAACAGATAACAGATACCCAAGAGATGCTCCCCCGCAACCAACAAACGGATACTTTACTTTTTCTCTGGAAACTCCTGCTCTGGGGATGCAGAGAGATGTGAGCCAACCCCCCACCCAAGACTCTACCCACTGGGCAGTCTGCCCTGCAGCTCCGTTGGCACCGGGGTCCTTCCAGAACCCTCTGCCCTCCCTCTTTCCTTCCTTTGTTCCTCCCTCCCCACCCTCACCCCGCATCCTTCCTCTCTGTTCCTCAATGCCTGACCAGACAGACAGCCTGAACTCCTCCTTTCTGGGCTGCTTCTCCCTGTAGCTTCCCCCAGACACCTCCTGCAGGCAGACACAGGGCTGCTGGGGTCAGGCTCACAGTGAAGCCTGACAAGGGTGGGAAGGAGAAAAAGCCCCTTCTGGAGGCTGAGGGCGCAGCTGTGTGAACCAGTTCAAAAACCAAATGATGTGACTTCCCGAAGACAACTCATTTGAGCGTTGTAGGCCTCGGTTTCCCTCCTTGCTATCCCAGGGCTGTGGAGTGATGGGAGGGAACGAGAAGAGGCAAGTTTATGGTTCTGAGCGGGGAACTGGCTGTGCACCTTGCCGGGACACAGGGCGTCAGTGCAATGCGGGGCAGAGTGGGACGGTGGAGCTCTGGGCCGAGGAAGCCCTCTGTTCTTAGACTCCCATGATCCTCCTGCTGAAATCAGACCTGGGGGCCCTGGCCTTGTTCTTGCCCACAGCGTGGCCCTAGCCAAAAGGTCTCCCTTACAGATATTCTGGCTATGGTGTGTGGTGTCACAGTGGCCAGTGCCATTATCTGGGTCATTTGATCCGGGGAATCTGCCAAATCAGATAATTTGGGCAGCCAGCCTGTCTCTCTAGATCACATGTCCCAGTCCTGGCTCTCGTCCCCACCTGCCCTGGTGCCCCAAACACAATCCCCCTCTCAGGTAGCTGGAAAGGAGCCTGTAGCATGGGAGTTCACGGCCAGTGCTGGGAGAGGGGGCTTATTTAGCCTCCTATGCCACCTCCCCATCAGCTAGTCTATCCAGGGTGGCGATTAAAGCCTCTGTAACCAATAAAGTTTAAAATACTGGAACTTGCAATTTTTTTACACTTATAAACTGTTTTTAATGGGACCGGTAGGAAGAGTACAGGTTCAGGCCTTTCTCAAAGAACACACCTACAAAGCCAGCCAGGACCCGGGTCACAGCCACCAAGTCCCTGTTTTAACCTCAGTATCTAACAGCGTCGCACTCAAGTGTGACCCCTGCCCCAGTTCTAAGGCTTCTGAACTCCATACAGAAACGGCAGTAAAGTTAGGAACCAAAGTGGGTCTGCCTCCTTTTTTTGGATATTATATTTGTGACATTGGTCTGTGTACTCCTGACAGCCACAGTTTGTGATCGCTGTTGTATAGTGTTCCGGCCATGTGTGACTATAATGGATCCTACTGTATTCCTGTTTTAAGACATAACCATGTGTGTTAAACATATTAATTAATTAATTGCTTTTCACACTGCTGTCTAGACACCTGAGAAGACGCCTTGGGGGCTTGTTTTGGCTCACAGGTTGGAGGGATGGGATGCCCCCCATCAGCATAGGAAAGGCGAGTCAGCAGGAGGAGCTGCAGGTTACATTGTATCCAGAGCCAGCAAGCAAGGAGACCAAACAGGAAGTAAGGCCTCAGGACCCTCATCTCCTTCACCCGTGCTTCACCTGCAGGTCCAGGCCAGCTAGGAACTACGTGTTCAAACACCCCCCAGTTTGAGTTTGCTATGTTGCCCCGACTAGCCTCAAACTCAAACTCTAGATCCTCCTGCCTCAGCCTCTGGGAGGATAGCGCTGGGATCACGGGTGCCCACCACACTGGCACTGCGTTCTCTTTCTCATACACAACAGTGGCGTGGACACCATTTGCTCTGCGCCTGCCATCAAAACAGAAACATCTCATGGGAACTCTGAATGTGCTCGCATTCCAGGGCAGTGCTCTCACTTGCCAGGGCTGTCAGCCGCCACCGACATCACTCTGATTGCAGGTCACAGTGTGCCTCGTGCGTGCACAGTCAGCGGCAAACTGCACAAAGATGCCTCTCAATCTGCACGCAATCCTTGTGAGCTGGGAATTATTATCACTATTTGTAGAACGCCGAAGCCCAGAGAGGGTCATTAACTTCCCCAAGGCTGCCTAGCTGGCGAGTGTCAGGACCTGAGCTCTGTCCTGGGTGTAGCTGACTCCACAGTCCTCTGCCACCAGGACAGTCCCCTCCTTCCACTACAATGCCATCAAAGGGAGTTACTCACTGCTGGACATGACCCTCTCCATTCTTGTACATTCTTTCCATTTGCCTTGGCTACACCCAAAATTAGAGCAAATTCTATTTTTGGAGGCCGTGCTTCGAATGACAATGACGCATGGGCCGCGACTCGTTCGTTCTGTGAGCGTAGCTCGGGGGTGTCATCTGATCTTGCATGAGAAACTCTCTGACATCACCATTTGATCTTTGTGATCCATTTCAGAGGCTGCCATCTTGCCTGGGTCTTTATTCCTACAGCAGATTCTGGCTTGACGCAGCAAACCCTGAACTCTCGAAGAAGCCTATGGAAGGCCATGGCCAGATCACAGTCGGGACGAGCCGAGACTCCCCTCCTTCCTGGGTCTGTGGTCTTTAAACTCCACAGATACAGCCGCTGCTCATTCTGCATAGCCAGTCACTTCTCACATGTGAAGACTAGCAGTGGGGCTAAACCGCTCTTGTGGGAGTCCTGGCTACCCCAAGACACAAGCCCAGAAAGAGCAAGAATGGTGCTGGAAGACCCATCACCCTCAAGCAGCTTCTGGCTGTGCCCGTGAGGGTTCTTTCAGAGCATTTTAACTGAGCATCCTAGTCAGTGTTACTACTGCTGTGATGAGACACCATTACCAAGAGCAATGTGGGGAGGAAGGGGCTTCCACTTCCACATCACTGTCCATCACTGAAAGAACCGATACAGGGAAGGAACCTGGAGGCAGGAGGTGATGCAGAGGCCACGGAGGAGTGTTGTTTACTAGCTTGTTCCCCATGACTTGCTCAGTCCGCTTTCGTAAAGATCCAAGAACCCAGGGATAGGCTGGGCCCTCAACCATTGTTGAAATAAGAGCGGCGGGGCTGCGTCCCCAACACCCCGGCCACTTGGCTAGCTCATGCCCGAAATAACAACACACAAACTGTATTCATTTAAGAACTGCTTGGCCCATGAACTCTAGCCCTTACAGGCTAATTCTCGCACCTGGACTAGCCCATTTCTAATAATGCGTGTAAGCACCCCAAGGTGCGCTTACCGGGAAGATTCTAGCCTCCGTCCATCCTGGGAGAGTGGAGCATGGTGTCTGTGCTCCGGAGAGCAGAGTCTCTCCGGGAGCAGAGCAGAATCTGACCTCACTTCCTCTTCCGTCCAGAATTCTAATTACTCCTCCCACCAATGCTTTAACCTATGAGGCCAAGCAGTGTGTTTATTACTTAACCAATGAAATCAACAGATTGATATATGACACTCCCACATCAAACCATCAATCACGAATTAAGAAAATGCCCTATAGGCTTGCCTATGGCCTGATCTTATAGAGACATTTTTCTCAATTAAGGCTGCCTCCTCTCTGAAGACTCTAGTTTGTGTCAAGTTGACTTAAAACTGGCCAGCTCACTGGGCAAACCTACCCTGAATGTAATTGGTCCCATTCCACGGGCTAGAGTCCAGACAGAAGTAAAAAGAAAGATTGCCAAATAACTGCATCAGCCTCTGCTCCCTGACGCGGACTCACAGTGCCCTCGGCTCACACTCAAATAGACACTTGCCCTTCAGATTCCTTCACTGGGTGTTTTGTCCCAGCAACTAGACAGTAAGTATTAGCAAATGACAAATGCAAAATGCTCAAGACACTTGTATTCCAGGCAATGACGAGGGGGGAGGCTGTGAGAGTTCACACTTGCCTTGGTAAGTTGGCATCTCACTTTTCACTTGAAGCTCTCCACGAGGCTCAAACTCGCTCTCCCAGTCACGCCTGGCATCCCTTTCCTCTGAGGAGACTCAAGTTTAGCTCCACAACTGGCATTCAAAAACACAAGACAAGGTCTTGGGCTGGGGAGATGGCTCGGCGGGTAATGCATTTGCTGTGTAAGTGTGAGGGTCTGAGTTCAAATCCCCGGAAGCAATAGCTTACATCTGTAACCCAGTGGCCCAGAACATAAACAATAGCTTACATCTGTAATCCAGCTATGAGGTGGAAGATGGGAGAATCCCAGGAGGGTGAGTAGAAGCTGAGGACCAACACCCCGAGTCGTTCTCTGACCTCACACAGACACCATCACACAAGTTCACGTGCATGTGCACACTCAGGCAATACACACAATAATATATTACACCTAAGCCAGGTGTAGTGCTCATACCTTTAATCCCTGCACTCGGGAAGAAGAGACAGGTGGATCTCTGAGTTCAAGGCTAGCCTGCTCTACATCCAGAGATCCAGGCCAGCCAGGGCTTCATAGGGAAACCCTGTCTCGAAATCTAAAATAAATTAATGAATAAAATAAAAACATTTACACCTAGATTTTTCTAGTCATCTTTGGACCTAACCTGGAGCCACACTAGATCTGCAAACTGGGCTAATGGCATCCCAGAAGCCCCTATGTTCCACTCTTGTCTGATGAGGTCCCTTAGGGGCCTCAGCAGGAGTCATCCAGGAGCTGGGCCATTGGTCCAGGGTCACACAAGCTCAGAGAGGGAATACGATAGCCCAGAGGCCACACAGCTGAAACTCAGGGCCCATTAAAACAACGCACTGAACACCCATCAACAAAACTGCCCATTGTTGGATTTCTTTTAGCTGCCTGCCGGGCGGGCACGGGGCCAAAGCACTGAACAGCGGCGGCCAGCGCGTACCACGCTCCCGCCAGGCCCGGCCATTTGCCGCCTCGGTGCATTCGTCCGCAGCCCAGGAGCAGGGCTCAGCGCAATGCTCAGCTTGGAGCCCAGGCCTGCGGCGGGCGCGGCGGGTGGCCGGGGCGGAAGGAGTTAAGCGCGGGCGGCCGGGCCGGGCTGCGGGGAGGCGGCGGGCGCGGGAGCTCGGGCTGCAGACTGCTCCAGCAGGGCTGGGAGTGTGGGCGCCCGCGCAGCCCCAGCCTGTGCCCGGGCTCAACCTCACACAGACCCAGCCCCTGCTCTTTCGCGATCTGAGCTCCGTACCCCGCGCTGCGCCCCTCTGGGCGCGGAGACCTCGGCGCATCCCCAGGTAAGCAGCGGCCACGGTTCCCCAGCGAACCCCGCGCTGCGGAGAGGTGACAGGCGGTTCCGGGGAGATGACAAACTTTCCTCCGGCCGCGGACGCGCTTGGGGACATCCCTGGGGTCGTGAGGCTACTGGAGCAGCGGGGGGCCTTGGATTAGACTCACGCACCCCGCTGCCGGGCCAGTTCCCAGCCTGGGGAGAAGGGGCTAGCGGTACCTATGAGCCGGCCTTGGGGTGGCGCCCGCACTGGGGAACCAAGCGGAAGCCAGGGCCCCCGCAGCAGCGAGGGCTACGCGAAGCCCACTTTGCAGACTGGCTTCTGTGGGTCCTGAGGGGTGTGTAGAGGGAGACAGCCACTTACCCTATCCAAAACCCACCAGGCCCAAATGCCCTCCCAGGAGCCTCTTGACTCCTTCTGAGGCTCCCAAGGGGCACACCCCACTCCTTGAAGCTCTAGAGGGGCTGCTCCTTTAGGGAGAGAAAGAAAGAATAAAAGAAATCTAACAGAGGGAGCTGCCAACACTCCTTAATGAGAGGGGACCGGTGGCCGGGTTGCTGGTAACCTCCTGCCCAGCTGGCGGCTGGCCACTTCAGGTCCCTGAAGCTGTCCCAAACCAGAGCACCGCTCTGAGTGTGGCCACACACCTTTCTCCCTAGAGAACGCACACTTCCAAGAGGCCAGCCCTGAGTCCACACTCTGGTGGAGGACACCACTGTCCTCCATTCCTGCCTGGGGCTGGAGTCACTGGCATACTGGTTGATCTGGGCACTCTTCTGGCCATGAGCTGTGTTTGGAAATGATCCCTTGGCGTTGGATGAACCTCCTGCTGGGGCTGGGTGTCGGCCTTTGGAGAGCCCCATTGCTGGGGGTTCTTGAACCGTTACGTGAGGTTTTAAGGACGTACTGCCTTAGCTTCGGATTCTGAAGCCGACTTCCCAGGCTGCCCAAGGGCAGGCACTCCAACGGGAGTCTGTGCCAGAGATCTTGAGGAAAACCCTGCTCTGTTTTCGGAGGTAGCTTCAAACCTGTCTTTGACTTGCTGTGTGACTTAGGGCAAACCACTAGGCCTCTCTGAGCTCAGCTGCTGTTTCTCTTAAGAAGTAAGACCATGTACCCTCAGAGATCCCCATTCAGGCCACTTTGTGACCCTGAGCAATGTGACAGGTGGGATTTTCAAAATCTCGGGGCATATGTATGTGCGCGAGCGTGTACACATGTGTGGGGGGTGGGGGGAGTGCATGTTAGTGTTTAAGAACCCAGGTCTCAAAGTAGATCTGGGTGGCCCCTGGCCACTGCTCCACTGAAAAGTAAGAGTTTATAGTTCCTACTTCAGAAGGTGCCAGGAGCACTGGCTGGGATGATGCCGGGAGCACTTGTCTCAATCTGACCGAGTAAGGAAGCAATGGGGATGCCTGTTTGGAGGTCTTGTGCACGGATCCTGGGAACCGTTCCCCCACCGAGGCTTTCCTAGAACTCGGAGTATCCTGAGTCTCCAATCGCAGGATACCTGCAGTCCCCGCCCCTTCGCCCCTTCTTGATTCCTTTTAAAACCGCTGCTGGACCAGCTGCTCCCAGTGGGGAGCCCAGGGCAGTCTGGGAGGGCTGGATGCACCCAGCTGCTGCGTCGTCATGACAACGGGAGATGGAGGTAAGCTGTCTCCATGGCTTCAACTTTGCAGCTGTCTAGGGACCCAGGGCAGGGACGTTCTGTCTGTTCCGGGTCAGGCATCCAGTCCGCCTCGGGGCTGGGCATGGCAAGCTGCTGTTCCGGGCAAGAACAACCAACGCCAGGAGAAGCGTGCTTGCTGGATCTGCGGTGGGGGTGGGGCAAAGCCAGAGACTGCCGGGAGAGGGGCAGTCTGACTGGTTGCGAAGCCTCCCAGGGTCGGCTCTGGGTTCTTGCTGACGCTGTGGGTGGAAGAGCAGAACGTGTCCTGCATGGATGGACGTGGCGGGTGCAGCTTGGGGTTAGATCCACCGAGCGCTGGTAGAGTTGGTGCGGTAGAATTTCAGGACGCTGGGAAATGAATAGTTTGTCCTCCTGGTGGACTGGGGGGGGGCATGTGTGAAGGAACACATGTGTAGTCGCTGCAGTTGTGTGTCTATTTAGTCATGAGTGCACCAACCACGTGTGCGTGCACGTGTCTGAACAGCCAGGGTGAACTTGACACCTAATGAACATGTGTGCCCATGGGTTTATGGATATGCATGCTGTGTGTGCTTGCCTCTGAGAGAACAACTACCTGTGGGTGTGCATAAGGAAAGGGAGGTGAGTGTACTATGCACTTGGGGACACACATGTGGCTCTCAGGCCTGTCTGTACATGTTTAGAAGCACAGCCTGACACACTGGCTTGACCCTCTCTGGGTTTTATGAATCTCTGCATTTACATCTCTGCAAGCCTCTGCATATGAATTTTGAAGCTTGTGAGTATCACGTCCCTGCACATATGTGTGTTTGTATCAGTGTGTGCCTCCGTGTTCCCATGCACATGTGTGTACACAGACATACATGTGAATGTGTGGAACATTGCATTCTTGGTTTTTTCATGTGTGTGCATCTACAGTGTCCACTTGAATGTGCCTGTGTTCTCTGGAGTGCCTAACTTTTACATACATCTCCTGCACTGAATGTACCCAGGGTATCAGGTTGCAACATCTTGCATGTCATTGTAGTCTTTGCCTGTGTGCGACTGTGTGGCTTCTGTATGTGCCTTGTGTGTGTGACTGGGTGGCTGTGGAGATGTGGACATGTGATGGAGCGAATACCAATCTCCTTGTGCCGCCTCTAAGCTTGCTGAGACAGTGTTTGTGTCCCAGGCACCCCGGAGCACGGTGCCTTCCCAGCCTCCCTCATCACCCACACGCCTGAGTCTCTCTCGCCAGAAGTCCCCACCGAGGACAGTTGCTGCACACACCCCCAGATGCTGAGAGCACAGGTATGCATCCAGGCAGAACATCTGAAAGCAGGCAGCCCCGATGTGCCGAGCATCTCCACAGCGCTTCTAATTAGGAGCAACTTGTTTCCCTTAAATAAACAAATCAAGTGAGGAAAGAAATTGCTGGAGATTAATGGCTCCCCGGAGCAGGTCCAGATGTTTGGAAGGTGGGAACTGGGGTGAAACATGAGCTGGATCTTTGGTCCCGGAGACTGAAAGAACATCTGCTCAGGATCCTCTTGGCATGGAGTGGGGTGAAAGTGAGATGCCAACTAGGAGGGCACAGGCCCTTCCCCAGCCTGGCTGGTGCAGGGCTGTGGGATACACATGTGTACACAGACATACATGTGAATGTGTGTCTCCACCCCCTCTGCATCGACAGCCTTGGCCCTGAGACCTCATTTGCTGCTTGTCTCACTCGAGGGTCAGGCAGTGTTTGCACTCTGTACCCCATGGTTGGTCCAACCCCATGTCTGTCACTGCGCATTAGAAGAGGCGGGAATGCCAATGCGTGTGGCCTGTGGTTGTGTGTGAACCTGGCTGACAGGGCTTGTCTTGCGCGACTGCTGCCTCCCAAACCTGGTGCTGCCTCAGGGAGGAGCAGAGTTCGGTCTGGTCACAGATGAGCTGGAGAAGCCACTGGGGCTTGTTTGATATGCACCATCACTGTGGTCCTAGCTGAGAGACAATGGTGGCCACTAAGTGCGTTTACCTTCTTGACCCTGTCTGACCCTGGTGTTCTGTGTAGAACCACCCAGTGTGCTGCTGGTGGTGGCCATCCCAGCCCCACCTGCTCTCCGCTCAGTCCAACACAATGACACTAGCGTTTTCTCAGCACACACCACATACTTGACACAAATGTCACCTGTCACTTGTGGGAGCCCTATGAAAGTTTCTATTACAATCTTTTGTGAAGCTCAGAGAGGTGTGTGGATTTATCTGGGTCACACAGCCCAGAAAAAGGCCTTCCTGGGAATTCACAGAGGCCACCTGATGTCAGACGGTACATTTTAAATATGATATCATATTGCCTCCCCAGTGCCAGAAGGCAAGTCTGGCATAATACAAGTCAGAGCTCATGAGACCTTTTCTGATTAGCTCGCCTGAAGATGCATTGATGGGAACAGGTCAAGGCACAGAACAAGCCAATGTTTGTATAAATGTGAGGGAAATTTCCCGATCATTCATCAGTCAGCCCATCTCCCTATCCCCCGACCCTCCTACAACCCATCCATCCATCCATCCATCCATCCACCCATCTGTCCGTCTGTTTACCTATCCGTCCATCCACTGACATATGCACTCACCGTCTACTCAGCAATCAATCACACACATATTTATCCACCTATTTGGTGTCAGTATTTGCTGATCCCAGTGTTTGCTGGGCTCCCCTGGGTGACGTGTTCTGTGTTGGTCACAGATGTCACAGTGATGTCCTCAAGGAGCTCATGGAGAGGTAGAAGGGTCTGGGCTCTGGAGGAACCTGAGATACCTGAGGCAGGGATGTCCAGTCTCCACCCCTTCCGGAAGGAGCCCTGGTCTCCCAACACTGACGTTTGTGTTTTGTGATGGAGGACATGTTCACTAAGCCCTCGGCGAGCACCCAGCACAGTTCACACCACAATAGATGACAGTCCTCCTCTCCTTTATACAGCAGACAGCCAGATGGCACAGAGCAGAACTGTCCGGGGAGGGTAACCCTTTGTTCTGCTCAGAACCCAGTCTTCCTGGATCAGGACTTCCCATGCTAAGTCTGGAAAAGCTCCCTTCTCCTCAGCCCAACCCCAGAGGAGGAGCCAGACTCTGCTCAGCAAGACCCAGAAGAACAGGAAACTGGTAAATCAGGCTCATGTTCGTTTTTGTAAATAAAGCTTTATTAGCACACAGCTAGGTCCGCTCATGTGAACTCTATGGGAGTTCTGAGCAGCGCTAAGCGGGGCAGAAAGCATCTGAGTTTCACGGTCCATAGTGTTTACTGTTTGGACCCTGCTAGAAAAAAAATAATCACTGACCCCCGACCCTGCCCAAACTCCTCCAGCGCCCCAAACTGTGCCCAGGGAGAGGA